GGGGGGGGGGGGGTGAGGGAAAGATGCTGTGGGTTTTCCCTCGTTTAATTCGAATCAATCGGTTTGTTTTCCCATCGCTACGATCGCGGTTTAAAAACGAACGATACACTCTGTATATACAAATATTGTTGTTACGCGAATTGCGCGTGTACGTGACGTGCGGTGACGTGACGCGAAGAAAAACGGCGGCCGCGGAGCTGGCGTTCTTGTCGAACCGGGACGCACACACAAAGTCACCGACGCGTGTGATCGGTCTCAGTTTTACACCGCGTCATTTTCCGTTTAAGAGCTGTTAATAACAATAATAATATCTACGCGTGGGCGTTTTATGAAATTAATTTGTCAACTGCAATCTGATTTGTTAAGCGTACCGGATGAATTATTATTATTATTATTATTATTATTATTGATGTTTCACGGTAAAACGGTTGAACCACAATATTATACGCAGGTGCACGTTATACGTACGTAATATAGCGCGCGCGGTTAATCGGTCTGACGGTGACGTCGCTCCGTCGCCGTGTCAATCGATTCCATCGGGTGTCACAAAACGTTTGACGCCGTTTCGACAGCGTGTAATATAATATTTATTTTCAAGTCACTAAGCGAATCCACGTCATAATATTATTTATTATCGGTCGACCGATAATGTACGAAAAAAAATATTGTCTTTGGCCATTTCTTCGATGTTCGAATTTCGCTCATACATCATTTCGCCGGAAACGCTCAGATCGGATGACTGTCGATAAACACAAAATCCAAAATAAAGTAGGATACACTGTGTTCGACACTGGCGGTATTGAAAATTCGAAAGTAATACACGGATATGATATACAATATAAAACATACAGAATTGTCAATAGAACTTAAGGCGGTTAACGAAAAATGTCAACGGCAACGCCATTAAAGCTGAAACTTCGTCTATTTATGACATTTTTAGTATACATAGGTTACCATTTGTAAATAAACACGTGTTAGCAGTTTCACATGCAAACATAAAGACGAGAAAAAAAAAATTGAAAAACAAGTTAACGCTTTCCGAGACAATTAGTGTTTCGCGTTTAATTTACCACTGTATTTATCTAGCAGTTTAAAGAAAAATCATGTGGACCGTGGTCATTTATGAATATTTGTATGAATAAAATCATGTATTATTGAATATTTCGGAGTTGATTAAACATTGTGCGATTGTTCAACTTCTTCGTAATATAATTACGTATACTAACAATTAAAAATGTTGCATTTACTCGCATACCGGGGAAACAAAACAACTTTCGTGGAAACCACGATGCCCAATACAATATTTAAATATTTCTAAACAAAAATAGCGGGGTAAAATGGTACTTGTCAGTTGAAAATTTGATTAAAAAAAATATACGCACATTTTTTAAGGGGTTTGAAAATAAGTGTGCTTGTGTAATAAGTATTACGAAAAAACCATTCATCTCTAAGAAAATTGCATTATATATATAGAATATTTTATAAATTATTTCGAAAAACATGCGATAGAATTGTAGTGAAAATAAATATAGGAGAAAAAAGGAGGGAGAGGAAGACCGAAAAATAGGTGGTTAGATGCTATTGAAAACGATACGAGGACAGTTGGTGTATTACAGGTAGGGAGGTCGAATCGAGTTGAGGTTTAAGACGAAGGCGGCCGACCCCAAATAGTTGGGATGAAAACGAAGGAGAAGAAAAACTA